ACAGACTCAGCTTAGGATGCAGAGGCAGGCACAGTCCCCTAGCCAGAAGCAGCACCTCAAGGCTGGGTGCCCACCTAGATTTACCAAACAGCTTCCCTACACAGGGCCTTCCAATCTGCACGCCTGATTTATTCTTTTCAATAAGAGAAAAGATGTAAGTCCCTTTGAGCAAAGTATGCCTGATATCTATCACAATATTTATTTTCGGTGGAGTAATGGATCAGTCTTCAGGGAAAGCTAGAGAAAAGGCATTTCTTAAGCTTGGATGTAAATCAGTCACTCTGAAAACTGCATGGGAACCTATATTCTTACCCCCCTGCTAACTACAATGTGAAATAAGCAGCTGGCTTTTAAAAGTCATTGTATTAGTCGTGTCTACACCAAACACTAAAGAAAGTTAGGGATCTGAGGCCCAAGCAGCAATTGCTCCTGGAATGTCTGCTCCTAATTCCCCCAAGTGATGGCACAACTCAAAGTGAAAATGAGATCCACCCAGCCTGCAGGTGGTAAGTTGCACACCTGGCTGGGACAAGTTCTAAGCTTTCCTGGCAGTACTCCGCTCTAAGGAGGAAGGATGAGGAATGTGAATGAGCTTAGGATTTAGGGATCTCCCTAGGGACCTTCCCAGTTACTAGAGGCCACTCTTCCTATCATATTATATTAAATGTATCATAGAGCAGGATAAGAGTAAGACTGAAGGACAGGGGAGGGATCCATCAAACATTAGATGGATTTGCAATTTAAACAGAGCTCTTCAAAGGAAAGCAATGTAAATCCGAGGCATTCCTAATATTAATTATCCTAACATCTCACAGGCTCAGATTCACATGCTACAAAGAACACAAAGCCTTTTAATTTTCCTACCTGTCCCTGACACTGGTGGTGATAAATCAGACATACAGAGAAACCACACATGACTAACGAACCAGCCCATTAATGGGGAGCAAAGATCATTTGCCAAGATGACTTACTCAGACATGGCCACACATCATAACCAGCAATATCCTGGAGGCTTAACGCAGCAGGCACCGACGGCAAGAGCCTGGGCACTCCCTGCCAAGTTGCAGGCATTCCAGGGTGACTCGGGCATCCCGCAGATGCCTGCTATCCAGACATGAAAGATTTCATGGCTGCCCCCTCCCCACCGCCTTAGAGTTAAACTTGGACTTGGAAAATTACTGCACTTCTGTAAGATCTCTTGAGTCTTTTAGAAGCCCCCAAATCTGGCTGTGGCCCCCTACTCTGAGACTCAGAATAAAGAACCCTAGGAAGAAGGGCCAGCCTCTGCCATAGTAACCTTAACTGTTAGTTTATAGATTTTTTTCTGTAGCCACTCATTCAAGTGTCTGAGCGAACTAGGTACCAGACCCTACTCTAGGTGCTTGGGCAGATCCATAAACAAAACAGTGAACAGGTGGGAGTGATGGAGAGATGAGAATCCTCTAAATGCCAGTCTGTTCATTTTACCATGAAAACTGAGGCACAGTGATTAATAGGGATTTTCCTCTTGGGTTGGGGTTGGTAGTGTGACACAGGTTGGATTCTTAGTGGGGCTGCCATGTACAGTGGGGGGTAAGGGTAGAGGGGATGGGAATGAGGCTGAAATTTAACCCATATTCTTCATAGGACTAAGGGCAGCCCCACTCTGACACTCACTGTCCCAGACTGCTCAATTCCCTTCAACAAAAGCCCCCTTCACTGGAAGGGACAACTGAGGCTCCCCAGCTCAGCAACCAATCGTCATTAATAGCGGCCAAGAGAGTTCGAATCCCTTCATTGGGATGTAACCCTGACAAGCTATATACCCCCAATTCTTGTCATGAGTGAGAAGTCTATTGAACTTAAATTCATCAGAATCCCACCTATAGCTGAGGTCTCTATACTAATTTTAACAATAATTTCCTAGATCATCATCAGATCTGAAAGGAAAGACTGCTAGCAAGCCGTTTTACAATTTCGCCAGCCCTTTACTCTTCATGATCCCAAGCTGAGGATCTGTCACTGTTCAATCTCACCTCTACACTTAAATTTATGAGCCATAGGAATAATTAACTTAATCAACTCTATAAATGTCTGCTCTCGACTAGGTGTTAGGGATATAACATAAATACCAGCACCATCAACAGCAACACACTTCTGTCCCTGACTTCATGGGACTAAGACATGTTGAACATTGAGCTGGGGAGAGCCCATCTGCTAAGAGAGAAGACTGGTAGTCTATCTTGGAGGCCGGGTCTGGAAGCAAGAGTGTATGTGGTCAGCCTCTCCCTCACCCCACTTTACAGAAGGAAAAACAAGGACCAGGAAGGAGATGAAGTGACTTACCCAGAGTCAGACAGCTGAGTTAAACTGTCAAACCCACAGGGTCTCCCCTTTACACCAAATTGCCTCCTCTAAGGTTCCAAAATCTAAAAGTGAGGAGAAATAGTTGGTTTGTGGGACAGATTGCTTCCTGATGCATGTACCAGAGCATGCAGCTCCAACCCAACTTATCAGCACAGACCTGTGCCCATGTCCATTTTTCAAAGCAGAATGTTTATAAATAGTTCATTGCTCTAGAGCCCAGTGTCCAGTCTTCATTTACTCTCATTTATCAACCTCTCTGACTCTCTCTTGATGTTTACTTTCACTTAAAAAAAACATCAAAAAACTAATCTTATAAGAACAGAGCCCTTTTTATCTGATGCTAGCTCCCCCTCTGCTCCTGGGGTCTAATCAATCCATGTCTGGAAATAAACAAGCCGGAGAGAAAAGCTACAATACCTTTTATGAAAACAGGCACCTTTCTGAAATAATCCACCCCTGGGCATGGCACAGGTAGAAACTTAAGTGAGGAGGAAATAAAAGACATTCTCCGGCAATAGTCATATGCATTCCGTCAGGCAGGACACCAGGGAACAAGATCACTCTGGCTTAAGAGTTAAACCAAAAACTCAGCCGCACATTATTCAGGTTGTTTGAGAGTGGTGGCTGGGGGAGGAGGGGAGTCCAAACTCAGGAAGTCTGAAGAGGCAATAGGCTTCAAAACATAATCATATATACAGTCCAGGCCGCTCCATTCTGAGGAGCTTAAGGTCTTCAAGATAGTAAGAGAGGGCTCATTGAACATCAACTTCAGGCAATGCAAGTAGGCCTCCAACTACTGCTGGGTACACAGAGATGCCACAATAGAAAGATCCAGGCAGGTGGCACCCAACACGGACCTCCACCTGCTGTTATTTTACACCCACCTGCAAAGCATATCCCCACTCCCACCTCCCACCCACCCCCCGCTGCTGCAGCAAGTCCCGCCCACAGCCTCTGCCAGCAAGGGAGGCTGTCTTTGTACAGAGGGGCAAACCAAGTCCCCACTAGCCAGGCCACCAGGACCCCAACCCCAGGCTTTCAGAAACAGATCACACATCCGGATACAAATGCAGAAAACACCTGGGGATCCTTTTGAAAATCTCTGGCAGCTCTGGACATTCTGGATGAAAAACTGCATCCTTGCCGTTTACATCATTTCCCTGGGGGTTAGTGCCCTCTTGAGGAGGTCTAAAAGGGCAGAAACTCAAAGGCAGCTTTGAGAAAGGGGGCTATGTGTGGTCCAGGTGAGTATTCGACAGCAGTTTCTTAACCCCTCCTTAACTACTGCAAGTCCCAGCCTTTCACACACCTTTGAGATTTCCACAAATTGAAAGGTGAGAATGCACATGCACACACACACACACCCACACACACACAAGGACTCATCTTTGTGGCTTTCTATCTTGATGTCACAAAATGTCCTGCGAATACTTATTAAGACAGTCTCCAAACAGGACTTAGAGCAGAAGAGCTGAGTAGCAGCAGACCCAAGGAGTGGGGGAAAGGTGGTTGCTGGGAAGGATAATCTGGACGAGAGGGGACAACTAAGCTCTCCACTGGCTGAGGAGGTCTCAGCAGGCAGGTCCTGACCTGGCTGCCCTCCCCCTGGAAATCACAGCAGTCCTGCTCACTCCTTTGTCCCAAACCAAGAAGTCCAGAGAGAAGCAGCCCTTTCCTCCTGGGTTCCTGGGTGGGGGAGGGAAGAAGAGGCCGGGAAAGAGCATCCTCTCCTTTCTAGGCCCACTGCTTGCCCAAGGCCCCCTGGTGGCCCGGGGTGTCACCGCAGCCCCCTGTGCATGGCTGGGCAAAAACCTCCCACCGCAGCTCCAGCAGTGGTAGGGCAGACTATTTAGGTACCAGTGGCAGCCTGGCAACGGTCTTCAAGCCGGTGAGGCTGCATTTGCTTTTGGCTTCTTAAACTAAGACTAAGATTCCAATCAAAGTTGATCCTTCCAAACCACTCCCCAGTACAATCCCTACAGGGAACGAGTCCAAGAACCGCTTCGTTAAGCCAATAATCCTGGAGCGTCTGTAACGTTACTACCATCTTACTGATCACTTCTTCCCGCATCACATACGATTAAGTGCAACTGTTCCAAGGCTCGACAGCAATAGTGAGCAAGAATGCAAGTCACACTCTGGTTTGCAGGTCACTGGCCAGGTTACAAGAGATTTGCAGGGCACCAAATGCCCCCCAAACCCTGGGCTTCCAGGTATAGGTGGCTTTTGGGGGAAGTCGGGGTTTCCAGTGAGAAAGAACACGGCCCTGGACTCCTGCAAGCAGATAGGATGTCCATTCCAGAACCTTACTAGAAACAGCACAAAACTCTACTAGCAGCCCCACAGGACGGAGTGGAGCCCACCTGGACTGGGGCCTGGGCTGGGGCCTGGGCTGGATGGACTAGAGACTGGGGGTGGGGGAAGCCCGGTGGTTCCGCTGCCACTTGCCAGGGGTAGGGACCATTAAGGGAACCCAACGGTGGGGACGTGAGCAGGTGGGAATGGAGGTGGGAAGTTTGAGAGGGAGGAGAGGAGGGTGCAGAGGGTGCCGGGTGAATCTAGAGTGCACCAGGGACCAGTCTTGATAGCCGGCCCAGGGAAGTGGATGGAAGCCCAAGCAGGTCTTTTCTCTCTGGGGGGATTAGAGTCCTTACCTCCTTGATCTTTTCCCGCCGGGTTTGCACCAGGCTTTGGGGTTCCTCGCTGCCGCGGGTCCTGGTCCCCAGGACCGGGTGGCGGAGGCGGCTCCGGAAGGCGTGGAAGTCAAAGCTGAACGGGGGGCTCCCCTCCTGGGGGGCCTCGGCGCGGCCACCGCTGCCGCCGCCGCTGCGGGCCGCCGTGGCCTCCTCCCGCGGCCTGGGGGGCTGGGTCCGCCGCGCCCACCCTTTCCTCCTGCGGGGCCCGGCCAGGCTGCTGGGCTCCTCCTGCCCCGGGGCCGGCGCGGCGGGGGCCGGGTTGGGGGGCGGCTCCCGCGCCCCGGCCGGGGGATGCCCGGGGGCTTCGGGCACCGCCTCCAGGCCCGGCCGCTGGGTCCGGGGGGCCAGGAAGAAGCGCTTCAGGCGGGAGGAGTTGGGCAGCAGGAAGAGCGCCCCGAAGCACAGCGTGAAGAGGCCCGAGAGGAAGAGGAGGAACAGGAACTTCTGCGGCAGCCGCAGCCCCCACGGCGAGGCCGGCACGAAGCCGGGCACTTTCCTCATGAGCATCGTGGCCCGGCCCGGGGCTGGCGACGGGCAGTTCCCGCGGGTCCCGCGGCTCCGAGGGCGGTCGTCGAGGGGCGCCGCCGCCGAGGCGGGGGCCCCAGGTGTCTCCGGCCGGAGACGGCCTCCGAAGGAAGTTCAGGGAGTTTGGGGCGAGTCTTCCCGCGCCGGGGCGGGGGCGCCGCGGCCTCGGCGGGGCCCGGGCGAGCCGGGCGGCACGGCCCAGGGCCCGGGCCCGCGAGGGCTGCCGCGCGCCGCAGCCTCCCCGCCCGCCGCGGCCGGAGCCCCGGGCCCGCGCCTTCCCGCGCCGCCGCCGGCGCCGTCACATGCCGTCCGCGGGGCCCGCTGTCCACGCAGAGGCGCCCGCAGGCCTCGCCGCCACGCCGGGCCCCTCCGCCCAAAGTTTCACCTCAGAAGCCGTTTCCGGAGAGCGCGGGTTCGGGGGCGAGGCCGGCGTGTCCGCGGCGCCCCGAGCGCCCCCCGGCCAGGGGGCCACAACTTTGCCCTCCGCGGACGGCGCCGGGCGCGGGAGCCACACTTCGGAGCCCGCCAGGCAGGGGCTGCCCGGGTCCGGGGTTCAGAGCCCGGCGCCGTCTGCAGCAGCTGCGCCCGCGAGTGGGGGCTCTCGCCCCGACAACTCGGGCGGGCTCCGGGTTCGCGCGGGGATCACCTGTTCCCGGTCCCTGCCGGCGCCGCGGAGCGCGCAGCCCCGGCGGCGCCTTCCCCGCTGCAGCCGGCGTGCACGCGGCGGCCGCTCCGGACCAGCCGCCGCGCCGCAGGCTGAGCCGCCGCTGCCGCCGCCGAGCCTGCGCCCCACGCGAGCGCACCGCCGCCCGCCGCCTCCGCCGCCGCAGCCCGGCAGCGACAGAGACAGCGCCCGGCCCCGCCCCCGGCCACGCCCCAGGCCACGCCCCCTGCGCGCCCACGGGCCAGCTCGGCCGCGGCGCCGCAGCCAGGCCGCTGGCCGCCAGTCAGGGAGGGAGCGCGGGGATGCGGTGCGGGTGGGAGCGGGTCTGGAGTCCAAGCCACGCCCCGCCCCTCCAGCGGCCGGCGCGGTGCACACTCCCCGTCTCCCACCGACACCAACGGTCCGGGGCGCGGGGTTGGCGGGAGGGGGGGGGGCGCGGAGAGGGGGTGAGCGGAGCGAGGTCATTGGCTGCCTCGGAGGGATCCCCAGTCGCCCATTGGTTAGTGCCCAGCGTCCGCTGGCCTGGAAGCGACCGAGACCTCCCCGCTTCGCCCCACCACTTGGTGGCTGGTCCCTGGGGGGCAGGAGGTCTGGCTGGTCTGGAGGGCTCTGGCCAGCCCTGGGTAACCTCTCTCACCCGGCAGGGTCAGTCCAGGTTGGCAGGGTGCTGGGGACTTGCCCAGGGACCCCAGAGCTTCCGCAGAAGCCGCGGTGGTGCTGCTGCTGTGGTCGACTGTGAGGAAAGGGTGGCCACGCCGGGAGCTGTGGCCGCTGTTGGGCCGATTAAGGCCTGGACTCTTGCAGGCTGGACTCTTTGCAGACCACTTCCTTTCCCCTCAGCCCCCAACCGGGCCGGGACCCCAGGGTGGGGCAGGGAGAGACGCTAACCGCAGCGGTAGAAGGGCAAGAAAGAGACCTGGTCGTGTGCTCAGAGGACCATACACTCGTGGCATGGGTACCTAGATGCCTGCATGTGTTTATGTGCATTTGTATGTTCCTATGCATGGATTACATACACGTGTGATAACAATTTAAGTGTGGACACCAAGTGATTATACCAAAGCATACATAGACATAGACATATTAGTGCAACTATTGGCATGTGCATTTATATACCCACAGATGCACAACAGCTAGGTCCAAGCTCATGTGCTCACTGCCCAGACCCGTGTCTCCACCTCAAGGCCCTCACTCCTTTCTCCTGGGATGTAAGTCTCTCTGTGTCTTTCCTTCCTGTTAAATCTCACCCAGGGCACAGCAGCATTGTGCTGTGTGGGTCTTTCAAGCAAAACACTTTATTGAGACAAATAACAGCAGAGGGAGAGACAAATTAAGAGGTGTAATAGGCAAGAGGGAAAATATCTGCTTTCAGCTGCAATTTAAAATGAAATGCAGCGTTGACGAGACAGAAAATACTGCAGGGAGGCCTTTCCCGACAGAAGAATTGGCCCAGGCAGACTCTCACCTCCTAAATCTCGCTTCTTCCCTGAGGCCCGCTACGGATGGGCTCTAGGGACTCAGACATCCTTGTACCTCTGGCCAGGATATTGACAGCAGACCCTCCCCTGATATTTAAATACCCTGGCCATGTAAATCTCTTTCAGTTGGGAATAAAGGCTGGCCTTTGTACCTGGGTAACAGGTACAAATAATTTGGCCACGGGGTTGAACAGTTTCTTCCAACCCCACAAATCCTAACTCAGATGTTTCAGTCCTTGCCGAGTTTGATTGGCAGTAGTCAGTTCCCTGGCATCATCAGAGACAAGGATGTGATCCAGTTGGATACAGGAGCCCAGAAACCTGGCCTGGCTGCTCCTGATTCCCAATGCATTTCCTCGCTGGGTTTGACTCCAGAAGCAGCAGACTTTTCTCTGGAGAACCAGGGAGGAACCCCGCTTTCCTTGAAAGTACCCCACATTCCATGATGAAGGAGGAAGGAAATCACTATTCAGTCCCCTGAGAAGGTAGTACCCAGGAGAATGGGAGGAGGGCTGAGTCTCAGGAGGACATGTCTGTTTGAACTGGATGCTCACTGGACCAGTCTGTGGTATGCTGGTGAACCAGGGTATCAAATGAGGCCGCTGCCCAGCTGGTGTTGCTCAGTGGTTGCGCGTTGACTATGAACCAGGAGGTTACATTTAGATTCCCATTCAGGGCACATGCTTGGGTTGTGGGTTTATTCCAAGTAGGAGGCGTGCAGGAGGTAGCCACTCAATGATTCTTCTCTCATTATTGATGTAGACACTGGGGTTTGCACTTGGGCAGGGATTATGGCTCTCTAACTGCCCTAGACCTTAACTACAATGTCTTGCATATGGATACTGTATTTGTTGAGTAATGAATGAATGAATGAGTGGATGCCCATTTCACAGGTGAGGAAACTGAGGCCCTGATAGGGAATAATAATGAACTAACCTTTTCTATGTATCAATTACATATTGCTTCGTTTACTTTTCAAGACAATCTTATGAGGCTATTAATAGCCTCATTTTACAGATAAGAATACCAAGACTTAGACATATTGAGAGTCAATTAACAAGTATCTTTCTCAATTTAATTTAGAAAATCAAGTGGGATTGGGCACAGAAATGAAAGCTATTTTAAAAATCTATTTATCCTGTCCATAAACATTTCTTGAAATTAGATGCTAAGTATTACACCAGCCTTGAGAGGATGCAAAGATGAGCAAGGCATGGTCCCTCTCACTGCTGACTCACTCATTCTTTCGGTGAAGAACTGGTTATTGAGCACCTATTATGTGCCAGGCACAGAGGGGCTTGGCATAACAGCCCTAAATAGGGCAGGCATGAAGCCTTTCTTCAGGGAATGCTTGTCTGAAAGGCAACAAGCACCAATTCAGCCCTTCAGAAGGGAATCCCAGGCACTGGGCACTGGCTAAGTCCTTCACTCTCATCCTATCCAACCTTCACAATGGTCTTCTCTGGAGTAGGCCTTGAGATCTCATTTTAACTGATAGGGCAACTGAGGCTCAGGGGTATGACATGACCTGTCCAAAGTCACATAGAAAATAATTTGTAAATATGAGAGAAAACAAGACTTGTCCCAGAACCCATTCTTTTTCTGTTAATAATCTATTCTATCTAACAAAGAGGGCATATGTTAATTGACCATCATGCCCTCATAAAGACAGTGATGCCCCAGCCAACAAGAAGGGAATATGCTAATTGACTGTCACTCCCTCAAAGATGGTGGCACCCACAGCCACAAGATGGCAGTCCCCTCAGCCCTGCCAGGGTGGCAGGTGCACAGCACAGCCAGGCCCACTCCCAGGCGCCTGCCTCCAGAGTCTCCAGTCCCCTTAGGTAACCAGAACTGGCTGAGGCTTGTGGCAACAGCAGAGGTGTGATGGGGACATCACCTTCCCTTGATCACCTCGTCGCCTCCCGCCTCTGAGGGCTCCCAGATTGTGAGAGGGAGCAGGCTGGGCTGAGGGACACCCTCCAGTGCATGAATTTTCATGCACCGGGCCTGTAGTCTATATATAAAAAAGCCTAAGCAACTATTACTATTGGATGACTGGCTAGTAGCTATGATATGCACTGACCACCAGGGGGCAGAGTCTCAATGCAGGAGCTGCCCCCTGGTGGTTGTGTGCTCCCACATCCAACCTCCTGTGGCTGGCCAACCTCCACAGTCCCTCCCCAAGCCCAGCAGGCTCCAATCAGCCCCAATGGCTGGCCAGGCCGAGGGGCCCCACCCATGCACAAATTCATGCATTGGGCCTCTAGTATTAATGATAAGTATGATTATTGGGGTATTCACTGTGTGTCAAGCCCTTATAAAAGCATGTAATAGAAGCTCACTTATTTGATCCTACAACCACCCATGAGACAAGTGCTATTATCGCCAAACATTGTACAGAAGAGGACACTAAAACACAGAGATATTACGGAACTTGCCTAATGTCACACAGTTGAGAAGTGCCAGAGGGAGGATTTTGAACCCAGGTGGTCAGGCTCCAGGCCCCCTTTGCCTTTCAGAGTCTATTGCTCTCCATCTTTTAATGCCACGACAGCAGGTGCTGGCAAAGGGCATGGCCAAAAAAGATCACTAGCCTCAGGCGAAATTATCACAGGCTTGTTGGATTATAGGAGCTCATTCAGTCATTCCACAAGTATGTATAAAGGACCTGCTATGTTCCACTCGATATAGAAACTTTAGGGATATAATGATGAGCCAAAAACAGAGACATTATTCCCATTGCGGAGCTTACAATTTCATGGGGGAGAGGCGTTAAAACAAATAAGCAATCCAATAAGTATGCAAGCTGAGATAAAAGAAAGGAAAGAGACAGAAAT